TACAAACTTTGCGAAGTCAAGTCTTCTGGACGAAAGGAGTTCCAAACGGGCTGTAAGAACTGTTGCTCGTCATCGCCCACTGATCCCGCGTAAGTCTGCAGATGGTCTCCGTTGCTCCCCTATACCGAAACATGGTGAAATTTAGCAGCGCTCTATTTCGTACTTCTCAGTTTTATTAGATTACGTCCTGCAATATAATACACGAGGAATAGCACCCGGCAAAAACGAGACCGCAGCAGAATAAGTGCAGGCAAGTCGATTGCCTTCGTGTTGAGCTCAAGCTAATAGATAAATACATTGTCCGGTAGAGACAGTGTTCCCCTTGGCGGGGAAGCAGTTGTCAACGGCGTCGCTATACAGGAAGGGTGACAAAGAAGATCTGGGAACTATAGACTCATCATGCTTCAACCATGTACACCCGTTCACCCGTTGTTTGCCGACCCGTGTCCGGATGATGCTGAAGGAATACCAGTCGGAAGAACAAGCAAGTTCATAGAAGCTTCGGTACCCTCGACCAGTCTGCGACTTGTAGAAGCCTCATCAAAGTAGCTCGCGAACCGCATATGCTGTGTTCACGTACGATGACTACAGCAAGACACGTGATTAAGCGAAGTCAGCGAACTTATGGGGTCAGAGAAACAGGGTTACCAGAAGACCTACATACATATGCTGCGAAAATGCTGCTACGACTCTATAAGTGTTGTACGCCCTTTCATCAACAACTTGTCGTATTGTAGATTAGGTAGGTAGTAGGTTGAGCTGACCGTTCTCAGCTCCACCACAACTAGGCGGCCGATAGCATAGCTCTGATTGCAGCGTCACCTGGAACACGCTTCTAAGATGTTGCATCGTCTTCACCAAGGAAGATGACAGTGCGGTTATAAAAGCTTTCTACTTCCAACAATTCAACACTTCTCCGGAAACAACGATCATGCGGAGGAGTTGTTAGTATATCATGCTCAGTGCTTCATCTAGTTTTTTGTTGAATCAGCGTTCCATTTAGTTTTAGCATTGAGGCGCGATCGAAGTAGATGCGCAACGCACTTGAATGGCCGCACAGTCGGTCGGATCAAACGCGTGACTGCAGCGCTGCCGTCCAGAAGTTTGAACGCTGCCTGATGACTATTTTTCAACATTCCTCTTTTGATTCCGCGCGAAAAATGTAACGAATGCATGAACGACTGAAGCACGAAGGTCACCATATCTTCCGGTATGCAGTGAAAGTGCTAAGGCAACTCGAACCTCGCGGGGATGGACAGTGACAACGATGGAAGTGACATCCTGTTATTATTGCGTGTGCGTTCGCGTTCAGGCCATAAATTGTTATGAAAGCTGAATGGTTTTTCGGAATTGCAGTATGTATATCCACTATACCATGTCTGTCACCTCCCTATTAATACGCTTCGGTTCCTCTCGTGATCACGCTGATATCAAAGAGTACACGGTGTAGTGTTTAATTAACTTGCGTTCTTCGTTTTCCGCATGGGCTTCTTTGATGGGCTTATCTATTTTTGTGACGTGTCTATTCCGTAGTGGTAAGTATACTTTATTTTAGGAAGTTTCGTAGTATTCCACAATGGTATCACAAGTAATCTACTATCAGTGAATTCCAGTTAGGTTTTACTATATAAGTCTCGTCCAGGATCTTTTATAACTGACCGATTGATGATTGGAACATTTTGCTTTCACGATGGGATCTTTTTCGAGGTCGACAACAAGCAGTTTGTAGTCGGTACCTTTCACATAGCATTCCAGTGAGGCTTCAGCGCTGTCATACTTGGATCGAAACATCAAATAATATTGACGAAACTTCACAATTTTGAAACAATGTACAATATAGTACGTGTAGCTCACTTCGAATTGTGTTGTTTAGCAAGAAAAATTGTCACAGAGCCAAAATGTTTCCTACAGGGTTGCATATGTTTCCGTCCTGGAGCGTTCCTGAAAACAAATGACGTTAAAGCTGACTGAATACAGCTAATCCTCGACTTCATTCGGTACTGCGATGCATGGCACTTCGAAGCCCTTGATTTATATTCACTTGTGAGCCCTCCACTTCGTAGGATAAATCTACAAGGAGTGTGGTATAAATGCGCCTAGCAGAACAGAATACGGGGCCCTGAGTAGGCGCTGCAAAGCGCCTTCCCTAACGAAGGTGCTCTTTCAGCGCTTTCGAGCTGTAAAATGGTAACACGGAAGCCCACCGCGCCCCACCCGTCAATTGTCCGCACAGTCACATCGACGCTGGTACTCTTATCGCTTCATTTCATGAAGTACAATGATATGAAGCGTTGCTACATGGATATATGAATACATACGTGCAGCCGTACCTATCAGAGCGGTTGTTGGCACGATGCCAACGGAAAACTCGTTCCAAAGGTACTCGTCTGATGCCGTGAAGAACAAAGGTTTTCCGCAAGTTTTTGGCTGTTTGGCTTCGCTTTTTGATCATTTTTACGCTATGTAGCACCCCTGTTACTACTTTCTAGCGAGTACCAAGTTATCGTGTCTTATGCCTTTTTTGTCTAATCGCTTGTACTTAATTTAGTGTCTAATTACAATAGTTGCATGTCTGCAAGTCAGAGCAACAGCAAAATCATCGCTACGTAGTGATGATGTCAAAGAGAGCACTTGGCGAAATCCCACTCTAATTGAAGACGACCATTCAAGTCGTTATGATCACGTCGCAACCTACTGCGAAGCATCGCGCGATGAGGCTGTACGTTTTGCTCCCACCTACCCAGGCGGCCCGAGCAAAAAAGTCTAAATGATGACTTGCAATGATCGTCCTTGCAGTGAATGTCTCACCTTTTGTCACTGAACCTGGTTCCGGGACTTCGGAACATCACCAAATACACCACAAGTAATAGAACAACCGTTACAACGGCTAAATATACTTCTGCTTTTCGTCGACCATACAGCTCAACGCGTCGAAGGACGAACTGGTGTGTAGAACGGTCGATACATTATTGGTTCTCTTGTGAATCCACGCATAAGCAGTGACCTGAAGACGTCTGATAAGAATGACGGTTTTTCAGGGAATTGGTCCGCGTGAACTACCTACGAGCTCTCGAAGAGCTCACATAATTCTTTGGAGACTCGACGCTTTGGCCATCAAGTGGTGGGAGCAAAAGCTCGACTTGCCTCCAAGGGAGTGCTCCCCGGAAGAGGTCAATGGCGGTGGGAGAAAGACGTGGTTGACTGGAAGATAAGATGCAAATGATCATGCGAGGACCGTGACTGATTGAAGTCTTTCAAACAACTTGTGGACAAGGAGGAGAACCAGGAAGACTCCCGTAATCAAGTGTGCAGCATGTATTAGGTCATCCCATTCAAAAGGACGGATGATCTTATTCATGTAAAACAAGGAGAAAAACAGGTAGAAAAATAATAACTTTAGCTTTAAGTTAAGCAGATACTGCTCATCACCGATGACTCGCTGCTCAGGCCCGAGAGGCCGCTTGGACGCTCTGTACTTCGGTGTTTCAACAAGTGCGAAGTCAAGAGTTGTTGCTCGGGCTGCCAGTTTTCGCGCAAATGTTACACAACGCATGTAGTGCCACTCGCAAATACCAGGAACACCTTGAATTCGAACCAGTCTTTATCTTGCGGCGAATTGTGGCGACTCGAACCCAGGTCTCAGTATTGTTTTGTGTCCCAGCACGCCCTGCCTCACAAACTACAGTATACCGTGTCCGCACTATGACGAGCACGGTGGCCTAACTTGTAGTCTGTGTGGCACCAATCCCATTTGTCGAATCTGGGTTCGCCGAGGAACGAGCAAATAGACACCAGACAACTGAGCGATTTTATTCTCTCTTATAGAGCCCCGCC